ATGCTGGCTGGGGAATTCTGGGAGTTGAAGTCCAGACATCTCAAAGGTGCCGAGGTTGACAAACACTGGCCTAAACATTAAAGTCCATGATTTTTGGTGGAAGTTTAGTACATCACTCAGACCTTCCAAACTGATCTCCATGAGACATTTTTAAAACAGCCAGCTCTCCCTCTAGCCAGGGAGAAGACATCTGTTAGGTAGGAAGGAGAAGCTTCCATACCTCTTGGTGTGACGTCCAAATTTCAGGAGCTTGTTTTCCTGTCCTTTGGAAATGGGAAACACATAGACATTATTTTGCATTTCCTCTTCTGCCCCCAAAAGTTCACCAGGAAATGCCAATGTCCCTTGATCTCCCCAAGTTCGTTCAGCCTGTCTTAAAACTTGCTTCTTCGTTTGTGCAACATCCTGATGGAGGGGGGTTTTTTCCTACCTTTTTCCGGCTTATGGAGTGATTCCTTTTTGCAGAAGCTTGGGTACCAGGCCTTGTTTCTCTAGGCTGGGTTCCTAAACTAAGTCCAATCAGAAAGCCCTTTTTCTCTGCTTTCCAGAGAAGATTAGTGTTCCCTTGCAATATCCAGGTCGGGATCTTTAATGAGTGCAGTCGGTTGAAACAAAAGGTCAGGAAACGAACAGGAGAAAAATGAGGTGCACGGATTCTGTGCAAAGCTTTCCCGAAGGATGGAACATTTGAGCAGAATGGCTCTCCTGCCCGTCAGCTGATCCCAAATAATCCTGTTTTCTCACCCAGGAAAGGTGTGTAGCAATCCATCGGTCTCTGCGCTGTTTTCTTGTGGTGGTGGAGGTGTTTTTTAAAATTTCACTGTACATTAAAACTGTCCCTGTCTGGAAGATTGGCTGCAACCACAGGTCACTCCTTGTGAGGAATGAGAAGGTTTAATTGGCGTGTGACTTCCAGTGAAATTTGGCAGGCCTAGTTAGAGGAGGAATGAGAAAGAAAACTCAAAGCAACAGAAAAACCATTCAGCTTGGATTGACACACCAGACTGAATTCCCTTCTCCTCTCCCCGTCAGTGTCCTTTGCAATTCAACCCACAGGGAAGGTATTAGTGAGAATGGTCTGCAAACGAGGCAGCGTCCGCCGGGCCCAGTGTTCGTGGGGCTCCACCAGCTGGACAGAGTGACAGCTCCGAAAAAATAAAAAGCAGGTTTTTCCCAATAAGTTCCAGGAGGCCCAGCTAGCGAATGAAATGTGGGAATATTGAGGGAGGCTGATGGTTGGAAATCGCTGGTGACATGAGTGACTTACAGGTGCTCCGAAAGCTGTGCTGTTCTATGATTTGAAGACTGCATCACATAAGAGTTGCCCTTCTTTATCTCCCTCTCTTGCTCCCTTTAATTTCACAAACCCAGTTTAATTACCCCACTTTGATATACTGTGAATTAAATGCAGATAAAGGTATTGATAATCCAGGGATGAGTGGTCTGTGGTCTACAGACCGTGGACATCCCCCAGAACCCACGGCTGCCTCCCATTTGGAGTTATTTTCCCCCAAATAAGAGTGGAAGAAGGAGGCAGATTATATTTCCAACCCTCCCCACAACCAACCCCCCCCCCAAAATGGACTGGAATCACATGACCAAAATTTGGCCTTTTTGTTGCTGAATGTCAACAGCATGATTGTACAATGGAGAGTTTAAGAGTGAAATGGGAATGGTTTGCCTCCCCAAAGCACCCTTCTGTTATTCCCCATCTTAAACTCTCCCAGAATTGAGCCCCTCTCTTCTGGGGACTCGCTGCATCTCTGGAAGGCCACTGAGCATCTCTCCAGTAGGTTGGAAAAATTAGTTGTACCCTTAGCCTAAACTCCTCTGCTGAAGTCCAAAATTAGCCGTACCATTCAGCTGGTGCCCATGTCTATACTAATAAAGAGCAAGTGGGTCTGGATGGAGAACATAGTCACAACCATCAACTGGATGATGGGCAGGGCTAGAGAAGGGGAGTGCCTTCCCTGAAGCCCCGCCTTTTTATCCATCACCCCCCCCCAAAGCTAGAGTTGAGTTAAGCTTGGGGTGTGAATGCTAATTACTGGTTTCTCCCATCTCCCTAAACCCTGGCTTATTTAACCTTGGCTTGTTGGATAAGCCACCATGGACTGGGTTCCACACCATGCTAAGCCATGAATCATTGTTTACAGACCACCCTGCCTAGCAACTAGTATTGCCAACGTAGAGATGCAGTATGTTTGGATTTTAATAATGGTTTGGGAAAAAATTGGGTGATTTTTTTTTAAAGAATGCAATGCAAATTATGTTTTATTAGAAGAGTGTACTGATGTAATTGCCCAGTGAGGTTGCTGGGTAGAATCAGCCTATGATATGCAAAACACCTCTACTGAAACTCACTCATTGACTCAGCCAAGCAAAGATCTTAGCTTGGAACAAGCATGTTTTAGACCAGATTTTTCAATAGTGAACCAATGGATCTCATCTCCATGAAGTCCACCAGGAAGATCTTTATCAAGGGGATATTTCTGAGCCACCTTTGTTGATTTGAAAATGGCATTGGATTTAATTCCCTGTGAGACATTATGGCAGGCATTGCTAGCTTCTTCTATTGGCCTTCATCTCCTCCAATTAAGAATAATGTCACATGAGAGTACCACAATACAGATTAGACATAGAAATGGAGAATTGACTGTGCTTCTTCCAACCCAAAAGAGTTGAGCAGGGAGGTCTCCGGGCTCCACAATTACTTAATTTCTATATTGATGACATCATACAGGCCTTTGCCAAAGATGAGTTTTGCCCTCTGCCTCTAGCTCATATGCTGATGCTGATGCTTTGTCTTTGTGTGCTAATGCTGCTTTGTCAGACCAAAATGC